GATGCCGATAGAGAACGGGAACAACTCAAACATCAAAAAAAAGAGTTGCCATGACGAAAGATCACCTCGGCGCTCAAAACAAGATGGGATTCCACGGTCTCAGCTCGAGGCAAGACTCTGATCCCCCAGACTTCAAACAGCATCTTGCCTGTCGACTTCATCTCATTCAGGAACCCCTTGAGTTCATTTCCCCACAACGGTGACGCTTGCCTGGCCATTCGGTGCCGACTGATCGACTGAACAACCCCAAACCCGCAAACCTTGTTCCGGCTTTGGTGCCAAACTTTCGAGGGAAGAAATGCACATCCAGAAACGCTTGACGCGAAAAGACCGTAGTTGAAACTAGTAAAATCCAGGGCAGACTTCTATACTCCGGGATCATCTTAGTTGCCGAATCCCAGTTTCAACTTTCAACCCCCCTCTACAGTTACGTACTGTACGGTACTAGTGTCAATATAGAATGTGGAGTATGACAAGCCGATGATCTGGCATTGCATGCGCTCTGGTTCCTTGCATACGACCAGCGGCCTAGAGGCTAGAGCTGAAATCGGAAAGATCCATTCAGCAAAAAGGAAAACAAAAACGAGACACAAATCTCAAAGAAAACCGAAAAAGAAAAAGAAAGAAAAAGTATCATTAGTCACCACAAATTCCGAATCCCGAGACGACCAGCAAAGTTCCGGAAGTCCGTGACGAGTCAGAAATAAAGACACGGATGAGATCTGACAAGTATTATGCTTCATTTTTTTCTTCTTTCTTTACAGTAATACTGTACGAGTAGGGCAGGGCAGGGTAGGGTAATATCAACCAACAATCCCCCCCCCACAAACTCACAACTCGGCTGGTATCCTTGTTTACCCCTTTTCTGATTCCATGCGGCGACCAGAAACGAAACAAACCGGTTCGGAACTTCTGACGAGTCACGAGTGTGAGGATATGGGTTATGGGTTATGGGTTTTGATCCTGCCACTGTGCTTACATCACGAACTTGGCAGGTAGTTGTTGGAACGCCAGATTGCGATCGCAAAAAAAAAGGATTCGATAGCCCACAACTGGAAATCCGGGTAGGAAGGAGTTGGAATCGGTCGTCAGAATCGGAAGTCGTCCATACGGCCAAGTGGTGAGATCCGGGGTAACCCGAATGAAACAGCAACTCCTCTCGCGCGATCCGAAAGATGATGGGTTTTTGGACCCTGTTTCAAAGGGGTTGGGGTTGGGGGGAGATGGTGGTAGACAACCGCGGGGTACATTGCATTACTGTGCCATAGTGGTGAAGGAAGGCATTGTACAATCCGTTACCCGTTCATGTGAATAGAAATGCGGTAGCTAGATATAGCCACGGAAAGAGAGACGTCGCATGAAGGAGGGGAGGGAAGGTGAGGTGAGCGGTAGGGTTGGGAGAAGCACGAGTGGCTAAGTATGTATACGGCGTGCGTTTAGCTGACTGAGATGACTGTTCCAATTTCAATTCTTAGGGTTCAGCTTTTCCTTTTGGCGGGGCTCCTGGCGCTTGCATAGGAAATTGCACGGCCACACCCTGTTACCGCGTTACTTTTCCGTGTTGCACGGTGAAGCTGAGGATATAAAACTTATCTAGCCGTCTACCTAAAGCTAACTTACTAAGCGATGAGATGATGCCTCGAACGACTTCTCCACGTCAACCCCCCCCCCCCCTGGAACGGTACAGTTGGCAGCCAAGTGGTTTTCTTGCCGCCAACGCTGCAAACCAAGATCTATTTATTATTATTCTCTTCTGTAGATAGATGGTGGGGTGGTGGTGGAATAAGCTCTAGGCAGTCAAAATAACACCATAAGACGGTCCCCCAAAGTTCAAGCCACCGACCGGGTTGCACAAGGTTTCCCCCATCTCTTCCCCACGTTTCGTCCTCTCGGCAGCACACCAATGCAACCTTCCGACCTTCGTTTTTTGCTGGGGAGAACGATGTTTTGTTTTTGTTGGCTTGTTGGATTACTGGTCGAGTTGTCGCTCACCGCTAGCTGGAGATTCACACACCCCCCTTTTCCACCTCGCCATTTTGATATGATACTGCACCGGGATGGCTTCGACGATGGATTCTTATGATATGCAATTATTCAGCTGTAGACAGTCCGACGGCTGAGCGTGTGGGGAAGGAGGGGAGCGTTGGGGGAGAAAAGACCAGGAAATAGGTGAGGCGGAATATCAGATGGGTGGCTTGAAGTGATGGATTCCCCGCGATTTCAAATTGAGGGGAAGAGCCTGGTTAGTTTGACTGAATTGAGAGAGACGAGAGGCGGGAAGATGCGAGGTGCGCTTGGAAAGCATGTTGAGATCGATCCTCACAGTAGCGAGGTGGTGGTTGAGAAGAACATTGGCCGCTTCTTGCAATTGACTATGGAAATGCCAGAGTACGCGATGGAGCCGGGTTTCTTGCTTTCCTATTCCAGAACGCCGGGCATTATGATGGAATGATGAACACACCATAGCCAAACCTTACGAGAATAGAGTGTAGGGCGGGGGGGTTCGTCAGGTTCCCCTCCTCGTCCTCCTCCTCACCGGTTTCCAGGGCATGGGCATGTCCCGATGCAACCAATTTATTTTCATCCTTCTGCTACATGCACTTAGGCTATTACCCCTTTTGGCTTAGGCTGTAAGCGAGTGATGCTAGCGTGGATTCTGGGGGGCATTTTTTTTCTTGGACACGGAGAGGCCCTCGTGGATACCAGGAGGGAAAATGCAGGTCAACAGATCCCCGTACATTCACATTCCCCGATCAGTGACGACGAGAAGGAAAATAAGAGTCTAGGTAGCGAAAAAAAAGTGTTGACAATTCCATGGCGTGTATTTAGATGATATTGGCACGGAGGAAATTCTTTGCTGTTACTATATTGCATTATTTGAGAAAAAGAAAGCCGAAATCAGCACTTGACAGATATCTAATTCTCGAATCTCTTGAACAAGGACATCCTCGATTCCCTCAACTTGTACCGTAGAAAATGCTCTTGCACGTGTACAAGAAGCGAGAAAAAGCAAAACACCGTACTAATTGGAAACACCCACGTTTGACTCATTGAAACCAAAAGTCCCGTCACCTTTCGCCAACTCGTGATCGTTAGATGTCCAACGTCGTAATTGCGGTCCCGGACCGGAGCATGTCCGTGAGAATATGCCGAGATATGAAAATTGTTCCACCGCATAGCATAGCATTACGACTATACCGTCGCTGCGGTGGATTGCAACGTTGAATTCACATCGTCTCTTTGACCTTTCCAACTTGGAATTATCTCATGGACCCCACTCGCAATGATGAAATTGGATCAACAGTTTCGGTTGCTTATATCAGAAGAGTTATATGATATCTGATCCTACACACCGCTCAGCCAGCCTTACTTACTCGGACAGAGCAGATCAGCTTTGAGCGTGAGATGCATATGCTCTATGCCGGTACTTGGGATGCTGTCTTTAATTACTCCTTTTACTTGCCTTGCTCACTTGTGCCTTCCTTGGGTTTTCGTTTTCTGCAGAAGAAGGAATGGCCAGTCAGGGAAGGTCTCGTATCCTCGTGTCTCGTGTACGAGTACTGAAGTACCTCGGTGGATTTGGATTGCGTGAGACGGTGGCTTTTGGTTCTGGCTGGTTTCTGGTTTCTGTACAAGTATCTGGCTTCTAGCTTCTAGCTTCTAGCTTCCGGTTTCTAGAGTCTGTTATCTGGCTTCCAGCTTCCAGCTTCCAGCTTCCAGCCTCTCGCTTTCTCCGCCATTGCTAGTCAACTTCTCGGGTGGTATATTTTACATTTTACCAGGACCAGTAGTAGTAGCAGTAGCAGTGCAGTGCAGTAGCATATTGGGAGCAGAGAAGTAGAGGCATGACACCTTCGCAGGCTTCGCAGGCTTCGCAGGCTTCGCAGGGTCAGGCTAGAAAACAGCTAGACCTAATCCTCTTGACTACTGGTCACTACTCGTACACTGCGCTACACCTCCCCTCCTCGTCCTACTCCTTCCCCACTATCCCGACACACCCCGGGCCCCATTGATTAGGTAGTGGTGTCGTTACGGCGCTCCATCGCTGCTTTCCACCCGCTCCAGCTCTTCTCCACAAGCTCCACAGGCTCCACAGCCCTGTCCTGACAGTGATTCCTGCCCCGTCTGCCCCGTAATCCCCCCCTTGCCGCCCCCGTCCCGCCCACAAATCCGCCTAAGACGTCTTTCCTCTTCCTCGCACGCCCCCAAATCATCTGGAGCACAGTGAGCTCTCAGCACTGGAGCAGCCCCGGTCCCTCCTTCTTTCTCCTCCCCTCGTCCCCTCCCTTGAGTTCCTTCCACCCTCCCACGTCTACGCTCGCTAGCCCACGCCCACGCTTCTACCCACGCCAACCAAACCCACAATCCGCCGGCGCAACTGTGAGGAAAAAAAAAAGGTGAACTCCACCATCCCAAAAAAAATCAAGCCATCCCAAGCCCCCCCCTTCTCCCCCCCCGGGGCCCCAGCGTGTGTACAGCCTGCAACCCTGCAACCCAGCAGCGCCCGACGCAGTATAAGACGCCCATGCCCGCACCCCAACCCACGAAGAGCTATCATTTTTGCCCTTTCTGCCCGCAGAATCGCACCAACGACCCAACGACCATACCAAACACACACACACACACGCTATAGTAGTATAACACCATCGGACCGCCCTTGGAGAACGGTGTATCCCATTCATTCACCATCTACGCTGCTATCAACACCACCCATCCCGCATTCCTCCGTACGTCGGTACTAGCGAGTCCCCACGCCTGATAAAGACTTCGACTTCTTTGGGCCCCGTCCTCAACACCAAAGCCTCTTCTGACCTGCACACTGCAAACTGCAAAACTCTCCTCTCCCTCCCTCAATCTTGAGATCCAGTCAAGAACAGGAATCGTACCCGTACTCCTCTACTTCTGCCCCTACGCACCGCATTCCAGCGTGCGCCTTGAGACCCTGGTCGGACCCTCGAAATTTCTCTGAGGAATTCGACTATCGCTGCGGCGGCGATCACATGCAACGCGCTTCGTCGGCAGTAGATTTCACCAGTCTGTTGAATCCACAGACCGCCGTCGAGAGAGACCAGGAAGCGGCAAGGAAGAAATTGGCTCAGATTCAGCGGGACCAGCACGAAGCAGAGATGGCAGCCGTCAGCATGATGCCCTCAATGATCGGGGGCCAACATGGCGAGGACCGACAGGATCTCCCACGCCCGTACAAGTGCCCGCTGTGCGAGAAGGCATTCCACCGTCTCGAGCATCAAACCAGACACATTCGAACGCACACGGGCGAGAAGCCTCACGCCTGTCAATTCCCGGGCTGCACAAAGCGATTCTCGCGTTCCGACGAGCTCACCCGTCACTCGAGGATACACAACAACCCCAACTCGAGGAGAAGTAACAAGACACAGCATGTCAGCCAACAGGCTATGAACAATGGCGGCATGGAGCATAGTTCGGTACACGGTGCCGCCATGGCGACCATGATGCCACCCCCCAAGAACAACATGTCGAGATCTGCCCCAGTGTCAGCAATAGGATCACCAAATGTCTCGCCCCCGCACTCCTACTCTTCCTACTCGACCGCGATGCCTTCCAATTTGAACCCCTACGGACGCAGTCTGGGAGGCAGCCCCAACAATGGCCAAAACCTCGACATCAACCTCCTGGCGACTGCAGCGACGCAGGTAGAGCGGGAAAGCACATTGGCCACTCACCACCCTCATCACAGTTCCCGGCATCACCCGTACTATAGCCATAGCAGCCACAACAGCAGAAACCACTTACCTTCGCTTTCCGCCTATGCAATGTCGAGATCACACTCGCACGAGGAGGATGACCATTACGCTCATCGTCATGCCAAGCGTTCTCGTCCAAATTCGCCTAACAGCACCGCTCCATCGTCTCCTACATTCTCTCACGATTCACTGTCACCTACGCCCGACCATACTCCTTTGGCAACACCAGCACATTCACCACGTCTGAGACCATACGGCGGCGGTTACGACTTACCCGGTATTCGCAACCTATCGTTACAGCACACTCCAGCTCTCGCCCCTATGGAACCTCACCATGTGGATGGACAATACCACAAGAACTCTTCCACTACATCTGCGCCTAGAAGTGGGCTGACGATTAGTGATATTATGTCAAGAACGGATGGCACTCAAAGGAAACTACCAGTTCCTCAAGTCCCCAAAGTGGCTGTTCAAGATCTGTTGACGACAGGCGAGAACGGATTCAACTCAAGTGGCCAGAGTAGTACAACAGGAAGTGTTGCCGGCAATGATCTGATGGACCGAATGTGATTTTTGGACAAAATCAAAACCTACGATAGAATGACGAACAAGAACTTCCTCAATGGAATGCACTGGACTGGCGTCTCTGGTTTCCACACGACTCAAATCTACTCGATAATTCACTTGAGTTGCTCTCGCAGCTCAAGATCTCCACTTTACTCGAACCCTCGTATCACTTGCTTGCAAGCTCTTCACGAATGGGATGAACCTGCTTTTTTTCGGATGGGTGTACTCATATCAGCGCGCAATAGAATTTTCTTTGGTTTCCTCGCTCTTGGACGAACGGCTTCTACGAATACTTATACAACGCCCCACTTATTTAATGTGGTCAAGCCCTTCTGGATGAAACTCTTGAAGAGGTGGATTTGTCTCTCGTCTCTATTCACATTGTTTTCATTTTATACTTTGATTTTCTCTCTCCTGTTATTTCAGCGTCACTGTTCGCAAACTCATTAGAATTGGCCCGGATGGACCCGGTAGCGTTGGGGTGGGCTGGAATTCCTTTTTTTTTTTTTTT